TAGATTCACAAGGCATTGGGTATGTACGAGGATATAGAAGGTAGCAAATTCAAATGGGTTCATTACTAGGAAATAATGATTAAAAATCTAAAATAGCAGTCGAAACATGATACGAACATTGCACCAGATAAGCAAGCGGATGATGAAAACAAGTCGCCTACATCTGAAGAGTCTTTGCCGAATATCATTGATGATAACATAACCACTGAAGGTAATAACTGTGATGGAGTGGAACGGCCAACAGGAAGAAAAAAGAGTAAAGAAAAGAAGAGAAAGTTGCATGATGAAAATGGTGTGGTGGATGCATTAAGCAAGTTGCAGTCCACTTTGGCCAAACAAATTAGTATCAATGAAAAAACATTGGAGATGAGAAAAAAAATTGAAGAAGAAAATATCCAGTTGAAAAGGCAAGCACTAAATAGGGAGATGGAAATGAAGATGAAGGAACAAAGGAGAAAGCGACAAGAACGGGTAATGAACCAAGATTTAACTAAGCTTACACCTCTAGCTAGAGCTTCATATGAGACCATGCAAGCCAAGATTTTGAAAGAATGGGAAAAACATGATATATTTGAAAGTGATACGGCAAACTCACAGGTATATACTATGTGCTTTTGATTAAATTTTTTTTTAAAAAAAAGTAAAAAAATGTCTTGACAAATAATGTCTCTTTTATATGCAGGACTTTGCAGCTTGAGGCAAAGACTTGGGCTAATTTTACTGTTCTGCAAGATTATCATGTTGAACTATATACTAGTATTTCCTTGATGTATTAGTTCTTTTTATTAAAAAAATAATATTGAACTACTTTGTTGCTTCTTTATTATGATATAAATGGACTATTTATCATACTATGTCCATATATTCTTTTTTACGTATTTTATAATTGTTGAAGTTTTAGTAGGAAAATAAGAATAAGTGTTGACTAACTTCTCTATCATATGAACTAATTATGAGGTATCTGATTACAAGCTTTTCTATCACTTGATTAAATTCATTTTTAAGTGTTAATTATGAATTACATGGTTTGACGTAGCTGAAGATGCTGCAAAGTACATTAGCAGTTGCCATGCTGCTATTATCTCTTGCTGTGGTATCTCATTTGTTTGTTTCCATATAATGTTGGTATTGAAATGAAAAAATGTTGGTAACTCATTGAAGGCCCGTTAAAATAGTCGAGGCAGGTTATGTTTTTTGGCCATTTTATGGAATCGTGCATTTGTCTGTGTGATTTAATCCAATTCATCAATTCTTGATGTTGCGAACCTCATCAGTTAGAAATATGAGATTGTGTTTCTGATACTCAGTGGTGTTCATTCGTTTATGTTAGTTATGAAAATGAGATGGTTATTAATTGAAGAGTTGAAGTTTAAACGATAGTTATGAAAATGAGATGGTTATTAATTGAAGAAGCTGAAGTTACTAATGTATTTATTGAGTACTTGGTTAGTAGATTTCGAATTTTAATTATATTCCAATATGTGAGATTAGTCAAGTAGCAACATCATGTGAAAAATAGGATTCTAAACATATTCACAAGCCACAACACTTGCAGATAATGGGCAACAGTCTCAATAATTTCGACCTCTTCTTGAACAATGGCAATGGCAGTGACAAAGAACTATAACATTTGAGTTTATCACAATACCATAAACTGAAATAATATTGTATAAAAATAGTAAAATAGTCATTGAACAAATTAAAATTACAAAAGTAAATTCATAATTTTAAGTTCGAGATAAAACTATAATTCAACCAATTTGTTGACCACCATGTAAGTTCCATAAGTGGTCAATAAGTGGTCAATGAGATCATTCTTTAACTCCTTGTGCACTCTTTTGTTTTGTATCTTCTTCATTCTGCTAGTCATCCTTGACACGAGATAAGAAAAATCATGCTCTGGAATGACATTATCATTTACTTCATGTCGTCTAATCTGTTCTGGCTGCCAACTCTCGGGATTCATTCCTTGGCTAGTTTCATTTTCAATAATCATGTTGTGTAAGATGATGCACGTCTTCATAATTTTCTCCAAATCTTTAGCATTCCACATACGCACTGGCCCTTTAACTATATGCCACCGACTTTGCAAAACACCAAATGCCCGTTCTACGTCCTTTCGTGCAGCTTCTTGCCACTTGGCAAATAACTTCTCCTTCATTGAAGATGGACTAGAGACTGTCTGAATTAAAGTGGCATATTGTGGGTATATTCTATCTGATAAGTAATACCCCATATTGTAATGATGACCATTCACTACGAAATCGCATGCTGGAGCTTTTTCGTTAATAAGATCATCAAACAATGGAGACCTATCTAAGACATTAATGTCATTATTAGTACCGGCCATTGCGAAAAATGCATGCCAAATCCATAAATTTTGTGAAGCCACAATCTCTAAAATAAGAGTTGGAACTTTTTTGAAACCATTAATATGTGTTCTGTGCTAAGCCGTGGGACAATTTTTCCAATGCCAATGCATACAATCCAAACTACCAAGCATTCCTGGAAATCCACGCCTCTCTCCCTCTTCCAACAACCCCGCAATATCTTTTCCGGTCGGTTTTCTTAAATACTGTTCTGCAAAAATACCAATTATAGCATCACAAAATCTTTTTAAGCTCTCAATTGCAGTGGTTTCTCCAATCTGAATATACTCATCTAGAGAATCTGCTGAGCAGCCATATGCAAGCATTCTTATTGATGCAAGTAATTTTTGTAAAGGAGTTAATCCAGGCTTCCCAACAGCATCAAACTGTAATGTGAAATAATTGTCATAACTTTGAATTGCTTTTGAAATACATTCAAACAATTCAATAGTCATTCGAAAACGACGACGAAATTGGTCAGGAGTGTATTTCGAATTCTCACCACTAAAATAATCTTTGACAATTATATCATGTCGTTTTCTGTCACGATGTATATAACATCTCTCACTCGTAGACCCACCATGAAGACCTTTTTCTTTGACTAACAACGGAGAAACTATTAAAGGAACATGGAGTAGACATGTTTGAACCAAATCCATATCTGTTTCTGTATCTAGAGTGTCATCTCCAGTAGGCTCATCCAACAAATTTTTAGTTAACGAAAGTTCGCAATCACTGTTTGATGAACTATTGGAGTCTGAATCGTAACAAAAATTCGCCATTTATTATTTGTTAACCTGTAGAAAATAAAAAATAAAAAAACCACGTAGAAGTTGTTAACAATATTAATCTATAGACTTGTGTTAATATGTGGTAATCAAACATAATTGATCAAATAAAACTAACCAAATGCATATTACAGGCGACCAAATAAGTAAACATTATACAATGAATATATCCTCAAAATATACACACAGTACAAAGAATTATAAATGTATGACAAAGAACGAAAAAAATGGAAGGTGAGAGAACCAATTTTACCTGTGCAACTCAATATTGAATAGAAAATAGGCCAAGCTACCAGTCTCAAAATTAGAAGACTGTATATAGGCCAAACCGCCAAAGCTTCTCCGTAAATTTTTTTAGTGTTTAGGAAATTTATAATTTGTTATTGTACAAAAAGAGGGGCCTAAAATTTGGGTTTATTGAAAACTGAAGCCCAAAATAAAATAAATTTTCAAGAGCCCATAATATTTAGGACTTGTTCACATTATGCATTGAGGAACACATAAAATTTTGGAAGTTGTGGACAATGTTTTAAATACCGTACCGGTGACCATACCGGACGAGCCACCGGTACGCGGTTCGACCGGTTCAACCGGTTTTACCGTCTATTTTACCGGTTTTTAATAAATATTAAATTAATCTATTATTATAATATAAATAATATATAAAACTAACTATAATAAATATTAAAATTATCTAAAGTCAAATAACAATGTAAATATAATAAATTTAAGTGTAGAACTTTTTATTTATATAAATAAATTAATAAAAATATATTATACAAATATTTTTTAAAAAAATCCAGTATGCCCGGTATTTTAGCCGGTATTTTGGCCGGTAAAACCTGTATTTCCGGTATGAAGCCGGTATAAACTGATATTTTGGTCAAAACGGTATTTTGAAGGTAATCATACCGGTTGGACCACCGGTATCCGATATTACCGATAATACCGGCTGGTACATACCGGTATTTAAAACACTGGTTGTGGACTCAACATCCATATAATGTGGATTCACATCACCTTTATTTAATTGACAGGACATTTGGCAAAATTAATTTCACAACAACATACAACATTTAGAGATGCTCTAATACAATGTATTATATTCTTTCCGAGCGAGACTAATCAAAAGTCTGTTGTGGTCAAAATAATATCACGCCAACAGGCAACAACTTAAAAAAATGGCTACTATGAACATTTTGATTTGTCCAACCAAGAGAATCATAGACCAAACAACTCAATGTCATCAAGAGAATCATAAGACCAAACAACTCAATGTCATTAAATTGCGACAAAATTGCATTTTTAGTCCTGTTGGTTTATCGCCGTAGCATTTTTAGTTCCAAGATTTTAACTTTTTGTCTTTTGATCCTGTAATTTTAAATTTGTTGCAATTTCAGTCCAAAATGGCTGAAATTTAATTAGCAATTTAAGTCCTGTAATTTTAAATTTTGTTGCAATTTGAGTCCCAAAAAGCTAAAATTGCAATTATTTTTAAAACCATAGGACCAAATAGCAAAAATGTTCAAATCATAGGACTAAAAATGCCACTGGATCAAACCAACAGGACGAAAATCGCAATTTTGTCTTAAATTGGATGCTAAAAACCAACAGGACCAAACAACAATCATACTGTTAAAGATACAATCTTTTGCATCTAACTGCAGATGCAATAT